TTGAGACAAGGCCTTGCTTTGTAGTGCAGGCTAGGCTTAAACTCATTATGGGGCCCAGGTTGGTCTTGAACTCAAGGTGATCCTTCTGTCTCAGCCTCCTGAATGCAGGGATTACAGTCTGACTATATTTGCATTAAATATTTTTTCTGGTTTTTTGTGGTGGTGGTTCTGTATGATTTTATATGAGTTGCTAAACCATTGAAGATGCAGTTACAGGTGCAGCCAGAGTCAGAAATAACTAAATACTTACATCGGTTACAGAGTTGAACTGCATATACTAGGACGTGACTCTACTTGATGATTTTTTTAAGATTTAGTGAAAGGAGGGCCAGGGTTAGCTCAGTGATGTCACCACCTGCCTCTCAAGCTCAAGGTCCAGAGTTCAATCCCCAGTACCAAAAAAAAAAAAAAGATTTGGTGAAAGGAAATCGTAAATCATTGTGGTTTTCTATTCTCTTTCAGCTTTCAGAAGAATTATTAGACAAGTGGCTCACCTACCCAGAGACCCAGCATGTACCCCTCAGCCAGCATATGCTTGGTTTTGCTATGAAGTGTGTCACACAGGTGGTAATGGGCAGTACCTTTGAAGATGACCAGGAAGTCATTCGATTCCAGAAGAATCATGGCACAGTAAGTCTAGGGCTCAATTTAAAGTTATTCTTTTAGGCCGGGATTTAGTTCAGTGGTTCCGCTGCCTGCTTTGCAAGCACAAAGTCCCAAGTTTGATCCTCAGTACCAAAATTAAAAATAAATAAATAAATAAATAAGTAAATAAATAAACAAATCTTTCATCAAGGAAAGAAAGGACAAGAAAAAAGTGAAAATAGAAGGAAAAAATGGAAACAAAACAGTGAGGAGAGGGGGCTTGAAAGGAATAGGATAAAATAAAATAAAATTTAAATAAATAATAAAATCAGCTGGATTCAGTGGCACATGTCTATAATCCCAACACTTTGAAAGGATGATGCTAGAGGATTGCAAATTTATGCCCAGTCTGAGCAACTTAATGAGACCACATCTCAAAATGAAAAAATGAAAAAGGGACTGAGGATTTGAAGGCTCTGTACTAAAAAGTACTAAAAATAAGCTCAGGCTGGTCTCGAACTCACAGCGATCCTCCTGCCTCAGCTGCCTCAGCTTCCTGAGTGCTGGGATTACAAGCCTGTGCCACCACGCCTGGCTCTGTCTTGTGTTTTAATGAAAAGAATAATACAAGCAATAGTAATTTTTTAAAGTTAAGAATTACTTTTTCAAACAAATGTTTTTTTAAAGTGTAAGAAACATATGACTAAAGAAATGTTCTTTTAATACTGTGTGTTATAAAAGCAATATTCTAGACTGAAGAGAAAAATCTGTATTTAATAGAGCTAGATTATGTCATACATAGAAAGAATTTATTTATTGGAGCATGAAAATGCTAATTGGGTGAATATGATTTGAAGCATTATGTTTGCCTTTTCTAAATTCATAAGTGAAATTTTATTTTTTAAAAATTAGTCTCAACAGAAATTTGTTGAAATGATATTTAGGTTATTATTCCTTATATTATTTAAATCTGTAAAAATAGGATGAATATTTAAGATAATGTATTTAAAAAAAAAAACAGGAACTGGGTTAATACCCTGTCTCTATTTAATCACTATTTAACGTACTTTTTCTTGTTAAAATAGTATTCATTACTTTTGGTTGATGGTTTTAAAAATCTGCTTTTCCATGAAACCTTTACACATCTAAGCATGTAACAATTAAAGTGGAAAATTATTTTAAATTCCACTTCCCAGGCTAGGCATGTTGGCTGGTACCTATAATCCCAGTACTCAAGAGACTAAAACAGAAGGAGCACTGATAGTTCAAGGCCAGCCTGCACTACATAGTGAGACCCTGTCTCAAACCATAAATAAATAAATAAATTCCCTTCCTTGAGTAAACTACTGTGTACATCCAGGCTGCAAAATTAATTGGTTAGGGAATTCTTAATATGTCCTCTTATTTTGATGAAAAAATAATTTTTTACTTATTTGTTAATATCTGCATTTTTTTTCATGTTGATGAGAGCTTTTGTTTTGATTTGGTTTTGGTAGTGATACTGACATGTTAAGCAAGTGCTCTACCACGGATCTACACATCTACATCCCCAACCCGTCTTTTTTTTCAATTTTGAAACAGGTTTTTGCTAAGTTACTGTTTTAGTTATTTTTCTCTCATTGCTGAGACAAAAGCTCTTCCTTTCCCCCATATATTATCCAAACTACTTAGGGCGGATAGCACTTACACCCTTAATCCTTGAGCCTAGCCTCACCTTGAATCAGGCACATGCTCTAGATTCAGCCTCCTCTGAATAAACCCTACTGAGAGCTGCCTGAGGCTTTGGGGGGACATCAAGACACAAGCCATAACACCCAGGCTGATTCTCTTGCTTCATCCTCTTGAGTAGCTGAGGTTATAAATGTGTCTCACTATGCCAAGGGAGAGAGTTTGTACTTGTTCTTCCTCTTTCTTTTTGATGGGGTACTGGGAATTGGGATTAAACCGAGGGCCTTGTGCATGCTAGGAAAGCACTGTACCACTGAGCACATCTCCAGCCACGACATTCTTCTGGCTACTGATACCTATCCTGAATGTTCTTATGTTGTATTTCTCCTCTTTTTGTTCTTTTTTCTTTCTTTCCATATAGCTTTGAAATAGAAATCATTTAAAACTTAACAGAAAAGTTATAACCACAGCAAGGAATTCTCAAATTTTGCTTAATGCAAATTAAGCATCTGTTTACGTTTTGCCTCCTTGCTTTGTCACTCATTTGTCCGTCCATCCATTCCTTCTTCCCTCCCTCTCTGAACCATGTGAGGTGTAAAGTGGAAATTTTAGCTCTTAACCTCTAAATACGTCAGTATGACAACATTTAGCATTGATACAATACTATTAACTCATCCAGGGCCATCTTCACATTTCTTCAGTTATCTTAATAATGTTCTTTTTTTTTTTCAATTTTTTAATACATTTTTATTGGTACATTTTAGAATACAGTTACATTATTAATGGGATCTTGTAACTTTAATGACATATGTTGGATCTTATTTTTTCCCCATTCCCCTAGTCTCCCTTCCCCCCTCCACCCTTCCCTATTTATAATGACTTTGTTTCCATTTTTTTCCTTTTCTCTTATTTTTTCTCTTCCCTTTTTACCTTACCCGTACCCCTCCCATTTGCCCAATACCTTTAGACCTTTTCTTCCTATTATAAAATATCAATTATACATTATTAATAATGTTCTTAAAATCCACACCACTTCACCTGCCCATTCCAGGACTAAATTTAGGATCACTCAGTACTTTTTGTTATCAAAGGTCTGTTTGTTCATTGTGAGACAAGGTCTCCCTATGTAGTTGAGCCTAGCCTGGAACTCACAGTGAACCTCCTGCCTTAGCCTCCCAAATTCCGTGATTACAGGTGATGTACCTACCACCTGTAATCAGACCATTTTAATCTGAAACACTTTCTTGGTTTTTTGTCTTGTGACCTTGACATTTTTAGAAAGTACAAGAGTATTGCTTTGTAGAAATCCTCCAATTTGTATTTGTCTGATACTTCATGAGTAAATTTGAAGTGTATTTGATGGAGGGGGCAGCAATGTTATTTTTTTAATGTTACTGAAAGTTATCAGAGTTTTCAGACCATAAATAATATTTTAATATCCTTCAAATAAATGGTCTTTTAATATTTGAAGCACCAAGTGATCAGGTTGTTCAGCCATGCCACCAGGCATGACTGACGGGTTTGTGAATTCAGAGGCAGTGACAGCTGTGTCTGCCTGCTGGTGATAGTTGGGAGATGTTATCATTTGTATGATGCATATTGATTTTACAAGTGTTAAAATGTGAAAAAAAGCCAGGCGTGGTGGCTCATGCCTGTAATCCAGCACTTGGGAGGTTGAGGCAGGAGGATCGCTGTGAGTTTGAGACCAGCCTGGGCTACAAGGTGAGTTCCAGGTCAGTCTCAACTACATAGTGAGACCCTGTCTCCAAAAAAAAAAATGAAAAAAAGTTATACTTCAATTTAAATCCATATTGCATTTCTGAACTACCTTCCAAAAACCTTGCCCAATTATATTCTTATCAATATTAGTGTCCTCTGGTTTTTATTTATTTATTTATTTTCTTGTACTGGGGATCAAACCAGGACCTTGTGCTTGCAAGGCAGGTGGTGGCACCACTGAGCTAAATCCCTGACCCTTATGTTCTGTGTTTTTTTTGTTGGTTTTTTTTGGTACCAGGGAATGAACTCCAGACCTTGCATTTGCAAGGCTAAATCCCCAGCCCCTGTCTTTTTGATACTTATATTGGTGGCCCTTTAAGTGTTAGCCTGTCTAATAAGTCAAAAGTGATATTTCGTGATTAATAAAAGTTATATTTCTTTAATCTCTTGTGAGATTGCATGTTTTTATAATTTTGCCAAACATTTGTGTTTCTTTTGTGGAATACTATCTTGGTATTTTATTGTTGTTGTTTGTTTGTTTGTTTGTTTTTGTACTAGGGAGTGAACTCAGGACCTTGCACTTGTGAGGCAGGTGCAGTGTCTCACTAGAACCCTGGCCCCTATGGAACACTTTCTTGTGTACTTTGTAATATTTCTATTAATGTGTTTCTCTGTCTTTTTTTTTTTTCTTTTTGCAGAACTGGGGATTGAACTTAGGACCTTGTGCTAGCCAGGCCAGCAAGGCACCACTGAGCTAAATCTCTTGCCCATGTTTGTTTTTCTTACAGATCTCTTAGTGCTATTTATTTTTATCTGTTCCCATTTGCTTTTACTTTTATTTCTATTTATAGTGTTTCTTCATGATTACACATGAAATAAAGCAAGGACTCACTCTGCTGTTCCTCTTTTTCCTCTCTGTTTTGACTCCTTTTAAGCAAAGCTATTTTTCCTTTCCAGCTGTAGTTTAAAAGTATCTTTAAAATACAGAGTGGTACCTTGTTTCACGAACTTAATTCTCTCCACGACTCTGGTCACACTGAATTGGATGAGAACCAAACCAAATTTCCCCATAAGGCTGACATTGAAAATAATCATGAATTTGACTGATTCTTGTCCAATTTCATGGAAAGAATAAAATTTGTGTACTGAGGTACCAAGGTACCACTGTATTTGTACTCTATACTGTGTGGAGTGACTGTGAGCTATCACAGTCATTCACTTAAGAGGCAGAACTTAATTGTCAGATGTTGGTGAGGAAGTCCTTACTAGCTTACTTTGCTCTGTATTATTTAGGAAATATGTGTACTAGGTAATAGGTATGTATACTTTCCTACTTTCAGGTTTGGTCTGAGATTGGAAAAGGCTTTCTAGATGGGACACTTGATAAAAGTACAACTCGGAAGAAACAGTACGAAGATGGTAAGTTTAGTCACCCTTAAGTTTTAAAAAGCACAAAAGCATGGCTCCCATTTTCAGTAAGGTTATCAATGATGAAGAGATCATTGAATTATATTTTCTAATTTTATTCTTTTCCTCATGTTTACTTTAGTAAACATGTAGTAAACAAATAGTGGAATTTTTACTTTAACAAAAGGTTCTGGGGAAAATATTAGTTAAAAAAACCCTCTCTAATATTCATTGTGGAGTTAGTACACTCTACAGGATTCATGGAAAGTGTAAGAGTACAATCCAAAGAAAGCAGTTTGATGCATGGTGGTTCACGCCTGTAATTATAGCACACAGGACACTGAGGCATGAGGAGTGCCTGGAGTTCAAGGCCAGTGTGGGCCATTTAGTGAGACCCTGTCTCAAAAAACTAAAAACAAAACAAAATCAAAGAAAACAGTTTCACAATTTTTATAAAGAATTATAAATAATGGATATCTAAAAAAAGAAAATATTCATGACGATATTTATTATGTACTATTTCTGCAAGTAGAAACCAAAACCAAATCAAATGTTCAACATTATAGGAATTGTTAAATAAATAATGTCACCGTGATTAAATATTACTTAGATACTTGTAAAAAAATGTAGCAACATAAAATATGCTTGGTGCTCACTTTGGCAGAATATATACTAAAAAATATTCTTTACATTATAACATTAAGTAAAAATGATTTTGAAGTTTTTGGACATCAATCACAACTTTTAAAAATTTACACAGAAAAAAGATCTTTTAGTTTAAGATAAGCCCTCTACATTATTCCCCACATTATTTGTTTATTTGTTTTTTCTATATTTTCTGTCAGTGGTTAAATGTGTGTAATGTTTTAATACTTTTATTTTGACTTGTTGCAATTCATTTTTTTTAGAAGCAGACCGGATAAATTAAAATGAGCTAATGGAATACAGTGGCACATACTCATAGTCCCAGCTACTCTGTAAGCTGAGGCAAGAGGGTTGCTTGAGCCTAGGAGGTCAAGGCCAGTCTGGGCAACATAGTGTGAGACCTTTGTTTTAAAAAAATATATATGTATATTTAGATATTTATCTATATCTGCATAGCATATAGCATTCAATAATTTTCCATGTACCATATAATAGTATTATATCTCAGAATTGTCATTCTTTTTACAAGTATTTAATTGTGACTTCCTGTCTCACTGTGTGGTTCAAGCTGGCCTTGAACTCATGGTGATCCTCTTGCCTCACCCTTCTGAGGGGTGGAATTACAGGCATGTACCACCACACTGGGCCTAGGCCCTATTCTATCCACAGGAGATAAAATCCCTATCCTTATCAGTTTACTGTTTTTTAAAAATACAATTTAATTGGTGTGTCTTCTGCTGTCTATCTTGATAGATGTATTGACATTAATTTCCTTGATTAAAAAATATATATTAGAAATACTGGTTAAATTAATGTGAAATGAAAATAATATATAACTTTTGACTTCTAAGTAAAAGTAGATTATCTAACATACATTCTTGGGCAGTCACATGGGCATAGATCCAGTTTGAGTTTATATTGAAAAGGGTTTTTTTGTTGTTGTTGTTTTTATTTTGAGACAGGGTCTCATTTGTAGTTCAGGCTGACCCTGAACTCATTATGTAGCTCAGGTGGCCTCAAACTTGTGGCAGTCCTCCTGCCTCTGCCTCCCGTGTGTTGGGATTACAGGTATGAGCCACCACACCCAATTTGAAAAAGGGTTTATTTTTGACAGCACTGGGATCAAGTCTCAAGCATGCTAGGCAAGTATTCTACCACTGATTTGCATCCTAAGCTTCATGTTCTGGTAACTATGAATAGAATCCTATGGCTTTGTCAGAGCTTCCTTTGTTTCAGTGAATAATTCCCAGCCTAGTCCGCACATTAGAACCACCTAGGAAACTTAAAAGCTTAAATAAGACCCCATCCTAGACCAATTTACTCAAAACCCTGGGCATCAGATTATCTTTGACAAGCTCTCCAGGTTATTCTAATGTACTCAATAGTATGAAGATTGTATAGCAGTAATTCACAAACTTTGCTGCACATTCAGATTTTAAAAGTACTGAAGCCTGGCTCCTACCTCTACACATCCAGACCTAACTGGTGTGAAGTATGACTTGTACTTTACCGGAAGCTTCCTAGATGATTCTTGTGTGGTGCAAAGTTCACGTACTGCTGCATTACACTGTTTATAATGTCTCGTTGTGTTATATTCATTTAGTTCTATAAATACTTAGTGAAGATTGTTTTAGGTACTAGGGAGATGTCAGTGAATAAAAAATTCTTGCACTTGTGGCAGCACATTGTAGAAAGAGGCAGTGGTTTAAATAAGTAAACTATAGTGTTAAAAGGTGGGAAATGCTATGGAGAAAAATAGATGAGGAAAGGGAATGGAGAGTGCTGGGGCAGAGAGAGTGTACTTTTGAGTAATTCTTAGGACAAGCCTCATTGAGATGAGATTATGTTTGGATAGTTGACAGTACCTTTTTGTTTGTTTGTTTGTTTTTTGAGGCAGGGCCTCCCTGTGTAGTTCAGGCTGGCCCTGAACTCACTGTGTAGCCCAAGCTGGTCTCAAACTCATGGCGATCCTCCTGCCTCAGCCTCCCAAGTGCTGGGATTACAGGTGTGCACCTCCATGCCCGGGTGCTTTTTCTGTGTGTGTATGTGTGTGTGTGTGTGTATGTGTGTGTGTGTGTGTGTGTGTGGTACTGGGGATCGAACTCAGGACCTTGAGCTTGAGAGAGGCAGGTGCAGTGCCACTGAGCTAAATCCCTGGCCCATGTTTGAACAGTTATAAGAAATGAGGAAACCAGTCGTGCAGGCCATGTGAATACCTGGGTGTCCAGAAAAAGAGGATTCCTTGTGGAGGGAATGTAGCTACAGAGTCTTTGAGATGGGATGCTTCCTGATGTATTAGAAGGTAGTATTGGCTAGTGTGAATTATGAGAGGAGCAGAAAGAGATGAAGTCAGAAGATTGGAGAGAGATGCAGTGTTTTCATGGCTTATAGACAACTGCATGACTAGGTTGTTACTCTGAGCTAGGATGCTTTTGAGCAGTTATGTTTTCAGTTATGTTTTGAGAGGCTCCCTCTGGCTTCTGTGATAGGCTCTTGGGGTCTAGACCAGAAGCAGAGAGTCTACTTAGGTGGATATTCATTCAAGCAGGCAAGTGAGATAATATGGCATGGGCCAGGTGGCAGGCAGCAGAAAGTAAAAGACAACTACAAAAACAATACTGTATTTGAAGATAGAGCCATCAACACTGGCTGACAGACCAAATGTGGAGTGTAAGAGAGAAAGAGACAGTGAAGTTTTAGGCCTGAGTAATTGGAAAATGAAGTAAGGTGGGGAAGCCTGTGGGAAGGATCCAAATTTTGCTTGAAAGATAAACCAGCTGGTCACGTTGGGTAGGCTTCAGACAGCCGAGTGGAAATGTTAAATTTGTTGTTAAAAGTGTCGATATGGAGTTCATGGAAAGAGGTCCTCACTAGAAGTAAAACTGTGCAAGTGTTCAGTACAGTACATAGATTTAAAGCCTTGAGGCTAGAGATTATCAAGGTGGTAAATATACATAGACAAGCCCAGAAACCTAGCCTGGCTTTGGATATTACATCATTAAGAAAAACAGGAGCTAGGAGTGGTGGCCCATACCTATAATGCCAGCTACTCAGGAAGCTGAGGCAGGAGGACCACAAGTTTGAGGCCACCCTGGGCAACCTGCTGAGAGCCTATTTCCAAAAATCAGAGAGTGGAGGGCTGGTGCTATGACTCTGTGGTGGAGCACCTACCCAGCATGCATGAGCCTCTGGGTTCAATCCTGGGGGGAAGAGAAAGGGGAGTAGAGAGGAGATAGAAGATACGTGAAGAGCTGAGAAGGAATGAAGACAACAGGCAAAATGGTGGAAGGGGAGGGTGGAGGCTGGGGAATGCACAATACAGGGAGCCCACTGAACAGTGTTTTCCAGGAGAATTTTTTTTTTTTTTTTTTTTTGGTACTGGGGATCGAACTTGGGTCCTTGTGCTTTCGAGGCAGGCAGCGAAACCACTGAGCTAAATCCCTGGTCCCCCCAGGAGAATTACTGACTTCATCAGAGATAGTGAGGACTGGAATAGATCTTTTATATTTCATGATTTACTTTTCTGATTATTTTATATCTGTTTCTGTCCTTCTGTCCCTCTATGACCAATGCCTATTTTGACAGATGAAAGAAATTAGCAGTAAATACAGAATTTAGAAAGAAAGTAGATAATATAAAGGGAGAAGCTTATTGTGTTTGGGTCCTCTAAGGTGCTGGGATTGTTCTACTTCTTGACCAGGATAATACTGATATGGCTGTTTGCTTTGTAATTATTCCTTAACTGTGCTTAGAAGCTTTGTGCCCTTTTTTATGTATTTCTTCTAGTCCTGGGGATTGTATCCAGAACCTTCATACTGAGCTATATCTGCAGTCCTTTATTTTTATTACTTTATTTTGAGACAGGATCTTGCTAAGTCACTAAATTGCCCAGGGTAGGCTCAAACTTGTGATTCTCCTGTCTCAGCCTCCCAAGGGTGCTTGGGTTTAGGAGTGTACCACCACTCCTAAATTTAACAAAAAGAAGGAAGAGAGGAAATTTAGATGAGTTTAAGTAGAAATTAGCATTTAAAAATTGTTGATTATTGGGATGGTAGTGTGTGTAGTGCTTGCCTATAATACATGAGGCCTAGTTCAATCCAGCCATGAAAAGAACTACTGGTTATTACCTCTAAAGATTTTATTCTACACATGATAACATTATGCAGGTTTATTTTTAGAGACTCTGCTCCACAAATACTTTTATTCTAAATTTTTTTTGTTTTTCTTTAAGCACTTGTGCAATTGGAATCTATTTTAGAGAAAATCATAAAAGAACGAAAAGGAAGGAGCTTCAGTCAACATATTTTCATTGACTCCTTAATACAAGGAAACCTTCATGACCAACAGGTGATGTAACTGTTAAAACATTTATCAAATAAAAATAATCCACATGTGGCATGTACTTTTCATTCACTTTAATCTACATGTCTTCCTGAAATTCAGTAGTTTTTCTTTTATTGTATACCATGAGCAGCACTAAGTACTTAGTCTCTTTTTATTTAGCTCTTTGAAGGAGCTCTACTTAATATTTGGGTAAACAGATGTTGAGGCAAAAAAATTTTTTATAACAACAGCGAAGGACTTATATAAACCTTTCTAGACTAAGCCACTTGCTATCCAAATGACCTGCCTGGTCATTCCTAGTGACCAGGTTTGGCAGTGGGCTTGTTTGTAGTACTTGTCTGTTACCACTGAGCCTTCATTGCATTTACGGTGTTACAGGACAGGAATGGAATCATTTCCATACCCATTCACTGTAGAAATCATCTGCCCCATTTAGCACATGCAAATCCTGGTGGCTAGAAGTGCTTTTTTGGGTCTGTGTTGATACAGAAATTGAATCAAGCTCCAAGGACAGTGGCAGGCTCTTCTCCACTATTTCCAAGGCTTTGTGGCTACACCAAGCCAGAAAAACAGGACTGAACCAGTTTGTCAAAGGGTAACATGATCCAGTAACATTACCAATGATGTGTAGGTTGTTTTTAACATTATACAGGTTTTGTTTTAGTAAGATCAGGATAAAGGAATAATACACCTTTTCCCTTTTTGTTGACCCTAATGTTATACTCTAAATCATTTTAAGGATCTAGTAGTATAAATCATTTTAGGATCTAGGATAGACCATCTTACATTTCATACTTCATAAACTTAGTTTTGTTTCCTAGATCCTAGAAGACAGTATGATATTTTCTCTGGCTGGTTGCATAATAACTGCAAAATGTAAGTATAAATTGAGTTCTTTTTCAGATGGATTACAAAATATGCAAGGGTTAAGCTAATTCTAAAATAAAGGAAACACTGTCTGCAAGACCTTCCCTGTTTCTTATTCTTGATGCCTTTTTTTTTCACCCCGAATGCTCAATATCACCTCTGAAAATTACTATAAATTTCTTGGCGCATTTTTGGGTTGTGAATTCTAGTTAGTGCCTTTAAAATGAACTGCTGTTGACACCTTTCCAGCTGAGCAGTGAGCTTTTCCATTCCCAGATGCTGCTTTCACTGACTCTGACACAGTCGGCTGTGATTAAGGTCTCCAGTAAAAATGTAGGCCACAGAGCTCAGGATTTACAGTAACACCTCTTGGTGGAATTGAAGGTGATTTTGATTTTGATTTAAATTCTAAAATGTGTGATTTAGGTTTCCTTATTGGTTTTTAGATTAGTGGAATACCATTCATTCATACATTATTGATAAAAAATGTTTATAGGTATAACAATATTTTAAAATGCCATAGGAAGTATTAGGATGTCAACTTAAAGTCTAGAAAATATAAGTTCACTTGAAGGATTTCGTTTATAGCTCTTTTCAAGGAAATTTTTAAAAATGAGTACAAATGAAAACTTGTAGATATCATAGATTAGATCAAATTTATATAAGCATATATCAGAAATGATATATTCTACTTTTTAAAAATGCTTATATGTGCTAAAGATCCTCAAAGAATCTAAATCAGTTTGTATTCTGAACACCACAAAAATGACCATTTCAAGTTACGAAGTTTTGAGAAGCAAGAGAGCCAGAAAACCTTAAAGTTCTTGCTTTGCTAATTAGTATTAGCTTTAAGCAAGTTACTTACATGTGATTTTTTGTTTTTCTAAACCATATGTTTAGCTCTAATGGCAAGGGTACACAGTGGCACACATCTGTAATCTCAGTACTTGGGAGGCTGAGGCAAGAGGATTGCAAGTTTGAGGCCAGTCTGGGAAACTCTGCAAGACATGACTCAAAATAAAGTTCATAGGGGGGAGGGTGCTGGGAATGTGTGTGGCTCAGCGATAGAGTATTTGCCTAGCATTCTCAAGGTCCTGGGTTCAATCCCCATAACTGCCATTAAATTTCTTCAGATTACATTGTTAAACTGTTTCCAGTTGTATTTTTAATAAGTATACAATAAACAAAACACAGTAAGGACAAAAAACAGTGCTTGAGATTATTAAAATTAAATGGTTATATTAATTTTAAGTGATGATAGATTCAAACAGGGTGTATTAATGGTTACGCTATACAGCCCTTGTAATAATTCCTTCAGTTGTATATTACTATATATTGTAAAATTATACTACATAGTATACACTCTACAGGTTTTCATATCACTTGTGAAATAGAAATTCTGTGGTCCACTCAAAAGCCATAATGAAGAAGCATATGTAGGGAAGAGTTATGGACAGGCAGTCAGTTGTGAATAATTGAGTATTATGTAGGTACTGTTTTTTTTTTTTTCTTGGTACTAAGAGTTGAACTCAGGACCTTGCACTTGCAAGGTTGGTGGTGGAACCACTGAGTTAAATTCCTGGCCCTGTAGCTACTGATTTTAGTGATACTAATGAGAGTCAAGTGAATCAGACAAATATTTTTTAAAACATCAGATGGGGGTGGCTGTAGGAGATAGATCATTTGCCTTATGTAAAAAATGCCCTGGCTTCCATCCCCATTGCCACAAAAAAATAATAAAATAAAATAAAAAATTCAGTTAGGAATTGTAAGGTAGAGGTTAAAATCACTATCAGCATATTAAAAAGTTTTTGACAGAAAAAGTAGAGCGATAGTGTCAGCTTAAACATATTCTAGGGAAAAAATAGTATATTCCAGATGGTCTCATTCTTTGACTAGTTATAATCCCAGTGGATTCATAAAGGAAATATCACCACCCTATTTCCTCTCTTTTATATTCTTCGTGTAATTTTCCTACATTTCCATTCCTTCAGTGAATATAATCTGTAAACCAGTTTAAAGCAAAAATGAGCCATAAGCCAATGATCTCCCATTTTGGTCATCAAAACAACAGTGATATGGTTAAAAGTACAGATTCTTGTGCCTTACCCCAAACCTGCTGAAGTAGCATCTGTGGATGTGAAGTTGTGGCATCAACCCACCTCCTGGGTGGTTTTCCTTTTTCTTTCTGTTTTTTTTTTTTTTTTTTTTTTTTATACTGGGGATCTAACTCAGACCCTTGTGCTTGTGAGGCAGGCACCGGAACCACTAAGCTAAATCCCCAGTCCTCCTGGGTGGTTTCTGAGAACCATTGTCCTAACCACCATCAGTCACTGTTCAGGAACCAGTACATTTACCATTAAAAAGTGACACATTTATACAGTACTGGTATTTAGATAAATCTGGTTTGATTTGTGTGGATCATTTCATTAGAGCTCCAGAGTGAAATGATGAATCAGTTGTTTTTTTTTTTTTTATTTTACAAGGTCGAGTGAAACAATTCATCACTATCACTAGCATTCCCCAGATATAACATGTCATTGCTGTTTTACGTAAGATAAAATATGAAGTGACTGGAGTAACTTTCCAGATATAAGAAAGCATCCAGACTCTATGATCTCATTCTATAAACATTCACATCTCAGGCAGGTGTGGTGGCCTGTAATCCCAGCACTCGGGAGGCTGAGGCAAGAGGATCATTGTGAGTTCAAGACCAACCTGGGCTACACAGTGAGTTCCAGGGCAGTCTGAGCTACATAGTGAGACCCTGTCTCAAAAAAACCAAAAAAAAAAAGAACACACACACACATCCTGGTCAATGACATATAAGTCCTATGAAGAATATTGTTTTATTTATTTAATATTTAAATTTTTTAAATTTTTATTTTTTGATAACTGGGATCAAACTTGGGACTGCACTTGAAAGACAGGTGGCAGAACCACTGAACTAAATCCCCAGCCCTATTTATTTATTTATTTTTGGTACTAGGATTGAACTTGGGCCCTTGCACTTGTGAGGCAGACAGCAGAACTACTCAGCCAAATCCCCCGCCCTAATTATTTTTGGTACCGGCAGTTGAATTTGGTCACTTGTGCTTGCAAGGCAGGCAGTGGAACCACTGAGCCAAATCCCTGGCTCCCTCTTGTTTTATTTTTGAGTAGTATTTGTCATGTGTATCTTGGGATGAAAAATAAAGGGGAAAACAAAACAAGACTTTTAGTGTTTTTCATACTCTAGCCACAAACCAAGAATTATCCATTTTCATTGTTATTAATGTAATTTTTTACATAGTATGTACCTGGGCAATTTGTTTTTTAACCACCTCCGAAGAAGTTCAAAAAAAACTACATGAAGAGATAGACCAGGTTATGGGGAAGAGTCCTATTATGCCAGAGAAAATTGAACAGCTAAGGTAAGAATGCAATGAAAGAATAAGGTCATCATCAAAAGGTAAATTTGAATTGCTTTGTCTGATTTAAAGCTAAGGTTAATATCTCAGCTATATATTTTACAGCTCTTAAATAATGGAGAGATTTTAATGGAAATTTAATCTGTGCTTTAAGAATCAGAAAGTAATTCTGAGAAATTAACTACTATATTAAATTAGCATGTATTAAATAGTATCAGTAGCTAGGCATAGTAATGCACACCTGTAATCCCAAGACTTGAGAGGGTGAGGCACGAGAATCATGACTTTGGGGCCGATCTGGGCTACATGGCAAGACTCTGTCTCAAAAAATGCCAAAAATAAAAAGCACCAGTGATGTCAAGCAACTGGGACACATATATTTTATTGGGGGGAATACAGAATGCTACAGCCACAGTGGGAAAGAGTCTGGTAGGATTTTGTAAAGTTAATTATATACCTGTTGTGTAACCTAGCAATAATACTACTAGGTATTTCCTAAGAGCAGTGAAAACAATTCCGTACAATGTCTGGGCTAAAATAGCTCAAACTAGAAGCAACTCTGGTGTTCACCAGATGGTAAATGGATAAGCATGTTACAGTATAACATAATATGGAACACCACTAAGTAATAAAAGGAACACAAGGGCTGGGGATTTAGCTCAGTGTTTCTGCCACCAGCCTTGCAAGCGCAAGGACCTGAGTTTGATCCCTGGTAACCAAAAAAAAAAGAAAAGGAACACAGTAGCAATATAATATATACAACAACATGAACAAGTTGAGTGAAAGAAGTAAAACGTAAATGATGCCCACTGCATCATTTGTGTGAAAATCTAGAAAAGGCAAAACTGTAGTGATAGGGAGCCATTGCTCTTGCTTCTCTCCAGCCATTTTTTTGTATCCCTCCTGGAGCCCTGCAGTAGCCTTTCCAGTCTTTTGGGCCTTAAAATACCTACGTGTGCAGGGTGTGTACTCTAGACCAGCTGACTGACAGTCTCTGATGCCCAGCACCCTCTTCCCCAAAAGAAGTTTTTAAGAGATTCTCGAATAATTCTTTCGTGTATCCAAATTTGAGCATTACTGTACTTGTGATCTTTCTAAATACGGAGTCATATCTAACTAGTTGACTCCCCAGTTTAAAGTCTCATTGACTTCTCCCTGTTTTTAAAATAAATGTTAAACTCCCATGACTAGCTCATGAGACATTTCAAGAACTGAGCCTTAACTGGGCATGGTGGTACACGCCTGTCATTCCCGCACTTGGAAGGCTGAGGCAGGAGCATTGTTTTTGAGGGCAGGCTCAGCCACATAACAAGTTCAAGGCCAGCCTGAACTACATAGGGAGACCCTGTCTCAGAAGCCCCCCCGCCATTAAAATTTTAAAAAGCCTTGAGCCTTATATGCCTCTCCTACTTTATCTCTCATTTCTTGTGTTTCTTCATACCGTTGGATTCAGCCCCATGAAAACTTGTTTCCAGATACAGCATAGACTATTCCACAGTTTCTTTCCCCCTCTGCTCTCGCTACATTTTTAAAATTGTTTTGCAGGTCTTACCCTAAGTATTTACTTCTCTGCAAAGCCCTTTCACTAGCTGAGGCGTTCCTGCCTTGTGTTCCCATCATATTCTGTCTTTCAGCATTTACCGAGCCTGTTTAACCTTTAATCCTTTAATGTCCCACTTACCTTACCTTCTCTGCCACCTAGATTCTGACTTACTTAGAAGATAGGTCTTATTCACTGTTGTAGCTCAGCATCTAGCAGAGTGTTTCAAATGTAGTAAGTATCCAATAAATATTTATTCAAAAGATAAAGAAAAGGTGTTTACTCTTTTGTTTTTGTTGAAGTTTTGGTTTGTTGGTTGGTTTTGTTTTGTTTGTTTTTTTCAGATGTAGGATGTACTTCAGACTAGCCTTGAACTGACTTAAAAAGCCCATACTGGACTCAAAACTCATGCCATTCTTCCTGCCTCAGCCTTCTGAGTGCTAAAGTTAAAAGCATGTGCTATCATACCCAAGATGTTTTTGCTGTTTTTCATATTAGAAATGTTGCTACGTTTACAGTGTTACTATACTTACATTTTTGTTAGTATTTCTAATTATTCCTGTATAATAAGGTGAGTTTATGATATAAAGACATGCACAGTAGTATAGTGGTTAAGATTAGGGGCTATGTAAAAGCCAGGCAAGGATTTGAGTCCTATACCACCTACCTTCTATGTGATCCTAAAAACTTCCTTCTAATTTCAGTCTGTCAAATTAGAACATTAAGAGCATCTGTGAGCTTTCTCTGGTACTTTCAGAAGTATTTTTGTTTAAATATTTATCCACCTGGAATTATATACCTGTAACTTGCATGATGTGTCTTTACACAAGTAGGATTTATGGCACCATTTCACAGTAAGAAGGTTTGACTGCTTGCTTCAGCTGCACATATACACACTAGGAAGGTTTAAGAAGTTATTAAATGACATTGTTAATATGTATGGAAATTGTAAACTGCTTCTCCTAAGATGAGTACTCTGGAAGGCTAAGGCAAGATCACCTGGGCAATTTAGTAACTTAGCAAGACTGCCTCAAAAGAAAATATTTTAAAACTGGGGAGCTGGGGATGTAGCTCAATGTGAAGGCCCTGGGTCCAACCCCCAGTACCACAAAAATAGTTTTAACTGATGTCTAAAATTATAAAAATTGTACATATTAATGGATACTGTGATATTTTGACACATGTATGCATTGTATGATATTTAAATCAGGCTGAGTATATTTTTAATCCATTTTGAATTGATTTTTGTTACTATGTGAGATCTGGACCCAATTTTACTTTTCTGCATGTGGCTATCAAATTTGCCCAGCAGCATTTATTACAAAGATGGCCCTTTCTCCAGTGCATATTCTTAGCACCTTTGTTGAAAATCAGTTGACTGTAGAGGCGTGGGCTGTCTGTGATATTCCATTGTCTGTGTGTCTGTTCTTTATGTGAGTGCCATACTATTTGGGAGGCAGGTGGTGGGTATTTTTTTGGTATCAGAGATCAAACTCAGGCCCTTGTGCTTGTGAGGCAGATGGCAGAACCACTGAGCTAAACCACCAATACCATGCTATTTGGATTACTGTAGTGTAACACTATATTTTAAAGTAGTATATTGCTTCCCACATTATTTTAGCCATTTTTGTGGATCCATACAAATTTTAGAAGTGTTTCTTGTTCTGTGAAGAATGTGAGTGTTTTGATAGGGATTGCACTGTGTCTGGATCCTTTTGGGTAGTATGGATATTTTAACAATGTTGATTTATCCAATCCATGACCATGTGGTGTATCCTTTATATGTGGGTATCAACAATGTTTATAATGATAACTTTTGTCTCTTCAGTTAAATTTAATCCTAGCTATTTTATTTTACTTTTGTCTGTAGCTATTATAATTGTGATCACTTTCTTGATTTAGTTTCAGGTAATTAGCTATTTATGTATAGCAACCCTACTGGTTTTACTATATTGATTTTGTATCATACAACTTTGCCAAGTTTATTAAATCTAACAGTGTTTGGTGGAGTCCTTGAGTTTTCTGTGTATAAGATCTTGTCATCTGTAAGTAGTAATAAGTGGGTTTCCTCTTTTCCAGTTCGGACTATCTTTTTCTTGCCTGATTGCTCTGATTAGGACTCCCAGTACTGTATTGACTAATAGTGCTAGAAATGTGCATCCTTGTCATGTTCCAGATTTTAGAGAAAATGCTTGAAAGTCTTTCCTCATTCAGTATAATGTTAGCTGTTGGCTTTTACGCTTTATTATATTTCCTTTGCACCTAATTTGCTCGCATTTTTATCATAAAGAGATGTTGAATTTTATCAAATGTCTTTTCTGCATCTATTGAGATGATCATGTGGGTTTTGATATCCATCTTATAATGTTTTCAACATTTATTGACTTAAGCAATGTATGCTTGTGTATGCTTAAAAATCTTTTAAACAGATACTGTCAGCAAGTGCTTTGTGAAACCGTTCGAACTGCCAAATTGACCCCAGTTTCTGCCCAGCTTCAAGATATTGAAGGAAAGATTAATCAATTCATTATTCCTAGAGAGGTAGGAAACATTTAGCATATATAGCTTATTTAGTTACTCTTTTCAACCATTTTGGTATTAAATTTTTTGTTGTTTAAAGTAAGTAAATGCTACTAATTATTAAATCAAAGACAATCTTTTAGTTTTTTTGTTTTTTTGTTTTTTTTGTTTTTTTGTTTTTTGAGACAGGGTCTCACTATGTAGTTGAGACTGACCTGGAACTCACTGTGTATCCCAGGCTGGTCTCGAACTCACAGCGAACCTCCTGCCTCAGCCTCCCGAGTGCTGAGATTACAGGCATGTGCAACCACACCCGGCAACAATCTTTTAATTACAAAATAATATGGGCTTATTTTAAAGTTCAAATAATATAAAAGTCTTCCTTTCTTATATGTACTATTTTTGTTTTATTTTGTTTCTGGTACTGGGGATCGAACTCGGGACCTTGTACTTGTGAGGCAGGCAGCAGCACTACTGAGCTAGATACCCAGCCCTCTTACATGTACTATTGCTAACAGTTTGATATGTCTTTTTTTTTTTCTCAGTACCAGGGATTGAACTCAGGACTTTGTGCTTGTGAGGCACTCATGGTGCCACTGAGCTAAATCCTCAAGCCTAATATGTCTTTTTTTACATATTTTTCTATGTATGTTATACTCTGAGTATGTGCAAGCACATATATACATATCTTAGAAACTGAATTTAAATATAAAAAGTAGCCAGGCATGGTGTGGCAGGTCTGCAATCCCAGCATTCAGGAGGCCAAGGCAGGAGGATTACAGCAAATTTGAGTTTAGTCTGAGATGAATAGTAAGTTCAAGATCAGCCTGAACTATGTAGCAAGAACCTGTCTCAAAATATATATTTTTTTCATATAGTCTTTATTTTTTTTAAATGAGTATATTTTGGCTCTTAGTTAAACTACCCTTTGATACAGATCCAACTCATTTTTTATAGCTTTGTAATATTCTGTTACATGTTTTTAACCATAATTTATTTAAGCAGTCCTTAACAATTAAAAATTTAGATTGACATTGATTTTTTTTTTCTTTTTTTTTGTACAAGGGATTGAACTCAGGACGTCATGCTTGGCAGGCAGGCACTGTGCTGCTAAGCTAAATCCCCGGCCCCTAACATTGATTTTTGTATCATTATATTTTATATGCTTGTATGGGTATTGGGTAGCAGCTCATAAGTGGAGTTTCTGGGTCCCAGTCTATGTGTGTATGACTATCTTATTTACTTTCTTATTGCTGGGACAAAATACCCAATTCTCTAAGTTAAAGGAGAGGTTTATTGTAGCTTACAGTTGATAGAGGTTTCAGTCCATAGTTGTCTGGTTTCAAGCATAGCAGAGGGAACACACAGAGGAGAAAAAGTTCCGGAAGTAGTGAGGAATCAAGGGAGAAGGGGGCATATCTATGTCTGTTTTGTTTTGTTTTTGGTACCAGGGATTGAACTCAGCACTTTGCGCTTGCGAGGCAGGCAGCACCACTGAGCTAAATCCCCAGCCTACATCTGTAATCAGTATCTCTATCTGTCTATATCTCTAGAACATGCCCAATGACCACCTCTTCCCATCATAATACCCAGCTATAAACTCATCAGTGAACTAATCCAGTGATGAGCATCACACACCCATTACCCAGTCACCAGTCACCTCCCAAAGCCCCACCTATGAGCACATGAGGCTTTGGGGGATATAAAAATCATAATAATTACATACATACATACATTCTTTCCTTCTTTCCTTCCTTCCTCCTCTCCTCTCCTCTCCCTTCCCCTCCCCTTCCCCTTCTCTCTCTCTCTCTCTCTCTCTTCTCTCATCTTTTCTGTGACTGCCCTGGAACTCACTGTGTAGCCCAGGCTGATCTCAAATTCACAGCGATCCTCCTGCCTCAGCCTCCTGAGTGCTGGGATTACAGGTGTGCACCACCACGCCCAGCTTCATAACAGTTACATTTAGATTGTCCACTCGGAGTTGGAGATGTAGTTCCATGGTAGAGTGTTCTAGGGTTGGTCCCAGTGTGCACTTAAAAAAAAAAACAAATTGTCCTCTGAAAGACAGTTTGTATTGTCAGGTACAATGTATCAGAATGCTTTTTAAGTCTGGGGATATACCTCAGTGGTAGAATGTGCATAAGACCCGGGGGTAAATCCTTAACATCAAACCTTTTTCTTTCCAAATCCTCCTAACTTTTGGATTTACGAATCTTCTATATATTTTTGTAAATATTATATGAAAAATTTTCTCATTTTAATTTGCTTTTCCTTGATCATTGGAGAGCTTGAACAATGTTTTGTGCATATAACAACAGTTTGGCTTTCTTCTTTTGTGAATTACCTCTGAACTTTCATTCTTTCTAGTGAGTTTATTTATGTTTTTGTGTATTCAAAGTAACTGGAAAAAAAAAGAAAGAAAACAAAGTAACTCTGTCACTTATATGGTGAAATTTTTTGTTTTACTGTTGCTTAGGTGGCGTTTTAAAAAATCTGAATGTAGCTTTTAAATTTTCATTTAATTAAATCTGTTTTTTGTATATTTTCCTGATATTCTGACATGCTTGGAGAGGCTTTCCCTGTTTAGATATCGCCAAAATAATGGCCTGTGTTTTCTTCCGTTATTTTACACTTTTATTTCATTTTCATTGTCTGTATTAAAAGATCTTTGGGATTGCTGGGTGTGTTGGTGCAGGCGTGTGTTCACATCACCTCTGGGAGGCCAAGGCAGGAGGTTTACAAGTTTGAGCTCAGCCTGGATAAGAGTGACTTAGTAAGACCCTGCCTCAAAATGAAAAATAAAAGAAAAAAGAGGCTGGGGGCCAGGGATTTAGCTCAGTGGTGCCGCTACCTGCCTCGTAAGCACAAGGTCCTGAGTTTGATCCTCAGTACCAAATGAAAAAAAAAGAAAGAGGGTGGGAGTGTAGTTCAGAATGATGGCCTTAGGTTCAACCTCCATTTCTGCAAAAGCAAACAAGTAAACACTACAAAACTAGAATGGATTGATTTTGCCTTAACTACCTAATTAGACTGATTTTTTTTCAGACCCTTGTCCTTTATGCCCTTGGTGTGGTACTTCAGGATCCGAATACTTGGCCATCACCATATAAGTATGAAAAATCTGTTATTGTTTTGTAATTGTTGATTTTTATGTGTTTACATGTTTTGCATTTCTATTCTAAATTTTGGGGAGAAAATTCAGTTTGTGACAATATACAACAAACAAAAGCCACTGCCTTCCTTTTCTGTGTTTTTTGATCCTTCTCCTCTTCCATGAATCTTCTATCTGCTATTCTTTGTCTTTTTTTACTACTTTTATCCTAAAATTTGTTCAGTTGCCTCATCTACATTTTTAAGCTTAGTCAGATTTTGGAATTCTTTTGTTGTTAAGTAGGTATTGCTCATGTTGTTTCTTTTTTTCATTTGGTTGGTCTCTCAACTATTGTGCTCCTTAGAATTCAGAAATACAATTGTGTATATGTATGCCATGAGTGCAGGCAGGGCCAAGGTGAAGGACAAAGTTAAAGTTGTTTCCTTCTCAGATGAGCAAGTAGTAAAATTACCTCAAAGCAGCAGTTGAGGATTTATTGCTCTGGTAAAAGGTTACAAACTGAGTTGATTTGAGGTACAGACCTGTCGGGACTTTTGATATTACTATCCTCAAAATACTCAAGAGAATCTAGTTTACAAATTGAAAATAGTAAAAGGAATAGATTTCTAAAATGTGGAAATCGTCTTTAGGAGTCAGATGTAATCAAATTTAGGAGGTGGTGGTGGTGGTATTATGTCTTTCTGGAGCTGGCCACTTTCCCACACCATGTGGAATGCCCTAAGAGACAGTACTAACAGAAGTACATAGTCCTAAGACAGACCCTGAGGATGCATAGATTCATTGTAGTTTAAATGTAATTATCACAAAGAGAAGGATGGAGAGATTGACTTTTCACTGAACTTGATGCCTTTGAGGTTTAAGTAGGTTGGTGGATACCCTTTCCACGGCTGAGTAATATTCCACTGTATGTGTGTAGGAGAATTATTCCCACCATTACCCTAAGGAGGGACATTTCAGTTGTTTCCGATGGATGTTTCACTTTTGTGAATGAAACATCTAAAAACATTTATACAAGTTTTTGTTTGAACATAAAATTTCATTTCTTTGGGATACATTTATACCCAATAGTCATATGGTAAAGTATATGTTTAGTTTTTTAGAAAACTGCCAGGCTCTTTTTCAGAAATTTTCTACTAGCACTTTACCAGAACATTCAGTTTCTCTGCAGCCTCATCAGCATTTATTAGTAGTATTACTTTTTAATTTTTCTTGTCCTAGTAGGTATGTAGTGAATCTTGTTACAGTTTTAATAAGTTTTCTTTTTGAGTGAATTCTTTAAATTTATTCTCCCTATAAAAAAGTATTTAGATGTCACTATTTCTAAAACAAAATGCATAAAGCTGGGTGTGGTGGTGCATGCCTGTAATCCCAGCACTCCGGAGGCTGAAACAGGAGGATTGCTGTGAGTTTGAGACCAGCCTGGGCTACAGAGTGGAGGTCCAGATCAGTCTCAACTACATAGTGAGACCCTGTCTACAAAAAACAAGAAAAAAAAGTAATATGTAAAACAAAATGCATAGAAGTCCAGTACTGAGCTGGGCATGGTGGTGCATGCTTGTAATCCCAACACTCATAGGTTCACCAGGAGTTCTAGGCCTGAACACCATAGTGAGACCTTGTCTTAAAAACATACAGGGCTGGCCTGGGATTTGGCTCAGTGATTCTGCCACGTGCCTCACAAGCACAAGGACTCAAGCTCGATCCGCAGTACCAACCCCCCAAAACTCAAAAACAATCCCCCCAAAAAACATGAAAAATAAAAGAAGTACAGTACTACTATATTGGGAGTGTATCAAAGCATTGACCTCTCAGTCAAATTCTATCACAAGAGAGGATAGTAATGTAACTATTCTATCTGAATGATGAAATCAGCTTTGAAAACTAGACTAAAAACCATCAACTTTGAAAAGATGGCCAAAGCAAAGTCCTCAATATATGAGATTAAATAATCAGTTCAAAATTTTTTTTGGTTTTATTGTTAATGTTTAGAATGTGAAGTATCATTCACAGTATCTCAGAAAGAAATTGAGTTGGGCGTAGTTGTGCCTCCCTGTAATCTAACTGCTTGGGAGGGAGAAAGAATGAGTCCAAGGCCATCTTGGGCAACTTAGTGAGATGCTAACTCGAAAGAAAGTTTAAAAAGCAATTCAAGAACTATGTGAAACACCTTATAAAAATTTGAAAAGTTTGACTTTTTAAATCTGAAAGTACATAGTATCTTTAGATAAATGTTTAGGGTCTCAACTTTCATTGTAGTTTAAAGGGAAGAGCTGATTAAATTTGTTATTATTTTTATATATACTGTACTATAAATATAGTATATTTTAGACATGAAAAGGAATTCACATTGTTTTAGGAAAATAAAATCAAAATTTCTCCTTTTAAATCTTAAAAACATTTGTATTTGAAAGGAATCATGTTCCATGTTAACTTTTTAGAGAGGAAATTGTGATCCCAACAAACTTTTCTTACCCTCTTTCTCTTCTCTCACTTATTAGTAAACCTGGGTTTAATGTAATTAATAAACAGAAGTTTAAGGCTAGAGCCCCCAATTTTAAGAAATAAATTTTAATTGAAGAAACGATGTAAAATGCCTCACATATTGATCAGGTGATCTCATGTAACAGTTCTTAAATTTATTTAAATATTCACTTTGTGATTTTGTACAATTTATCCTTATACTTTATTAAATGACATGCTTATAATCTCCTTCCTTTCTAGTTCTGAGAAATGTATTTTGTATCTATTGCTTAGAAGTAAGGAAAGAAAAAAGCAAGAGTAAATATATATAATTTCAATCATATGAGAACTGAAAATATAAAGTGACATCAGCTTTTTATTTTGAATGGTTTTAAACTTTATTATGTAGCTGTGGTTTTTTTTATGTCAATATGTAAAATGTCAGTGGAGCTGTTGTGTGATTAACTCCAGTTTTTGTTTTCAGATTTGATCCAGATCGCTTTGATGATGATTCAGTAAAGAAAACTTTCTCCTCGCTTGGATTTTTAGGTGCCCAGGAATATCCAGAGTTGAGGTGAATGATATAGGGGAAATTACATGAAAGGAAAAGATCCTAGACTTAGAATGTTGGTGGTTACTGTTGATGAGAATGAGCACTCTATATATAATGAAAGTATAATTTTTAATATTCAGTAACTGATGAGCTTTCCTCCTTCCTAGGTTTGCATATATGGTGGCCACAGTCCTTCTGAGTGTATTGGTGAAGAGACTGCACCTCCTTCCTGTGGAGGGACAGGTTGTTGAAACAAAGTATGAACTGGTCACATCAACAAGGGAGGAAGCATGGATCACTGTCTCACAGAGACATTAAAATTGTATACATTTAAAAATTTGTTAAATAAACTGAAGAAAACGACCATTTAGAAAGTACATGGTAGGGTCAGGTGTTTAGCTCAGTGGCGCCATGTGTGCCTCTAAAGCGTAAGGTCCTGAGTTTGATCTCCAGTACCAAAAAAAAAATGTAAATTCTTTCATAAACCAAGTATCATTTTGTAATATAAATGCCTATTGTTACTTTATTATGTAAGTTTAACTTTTATATCTTAGATTGTCTTAATGCATGGAATATACTTATTGTACCAATATATTGATAATTTCAATAGTGACCTTAATTCTGTACTTTTAATTTTTATCATTTTATAATTTTAATCTTTTTCTTAGTTTGATCTCTAAAATGAATATTCTTGAAGAGAGAAATTATCTTGTGCAAGTTGGAAGTCGTTTTTTGAATATCATAAAAGAGAGACACAATGCTAATGCCTTTTTGTACTTCCAATAAATCACTTTAAAAGGAAATAAAGAGGATTTACTATATTTCATTTCATGGGTTATTTTTATCTTCTGACTGTTAGCTTGTTTAATCATAATTCGTTGCTATTCTTACATTTATTTTTTTGGCCTCCCTACACAGCAGTGTTCATTTGGGGGTTTATACAAGGTTCATCTTCTTTTTTTTTTTGAGGCATGGTCTCAGTATGTAGTTGAGACTGAGCTGGAACTCACTACGTAGCCTAGGCTGGTTTGGAACTCACAGAGATCCTCCTGCCTCAGCCTCCCGAGTGCTGGGATTACAGGCACGTGCCACCATGCCTGGCAAGGCTCATCTTGAACAGTCCTGAATCACTTAGATTATAAAACAGTTGTTGAATATGTTTGTAAGCACCCCTCTTACATGAAAAGACTAAAACTGAGGCTTGTGCCTCTGTTTTGCTGATAATCTTAGCAATGCTGTATTCCACTGATTGACATCTGTGGAAGAAGCAGAATTCTTAAGTTTGGACTTTATTATACTAAATTTAATGAACCTGTCAGTAAGAAAGAAGAGAGCTGGACTTGGTAGTCCATAGCTATAATCCCAGCTACTTAGAAGTCTAATGCAAAAAGATTGCAAGTTCAAGACCAGCCTAGGTAATTTAGCAAGACCCTAATCAAAAAAAAAGAGAGAGAGGGCCGGGGATTTAGGTCAGCGGTTCGGTGGCCTGCCTTGCAAGCGCAAAGACCTGAGTTCAATCCCTGGTACCAAAAAAAAAAAAAAGAGAGAGAGAGAAAAAGAGAAAGAGGGCATTAACAAAAATCCACAGCTGGGGGAGTTGGAGGTAATGAAAATTTGTATAACAGAGAGATAATAGCTATATTACATATGAAGAGCTCATGCATACTGGTAAGAAAAATATATAATAAATGGATGAAGAGTAAGAACAAACAGCTTTTACAGGAGAAAATGACTAACAATTTTTAGAAAAGTGTTTAGTCAACAGGGCTTGGTGACAAATCCCTGTAATCCTAGCTCTTGGGGGACTGAGGCAGGAGGATCACAAGTTAGAATCCACCCTTGATTACTTAAGTGAGACCCTGTCTCAAAAACTTTTGAAAAAAGCTGGGGGCATTCTCAGTCCAAAGGCTGCAGGTTCAATTTCCTGTACCCAAAATGTTTCTTTAAAATATTTCGTTTCATTCGTAAGCAAGGAAATTTTAGGGCTATTTCAGAAAGGGTAGTATTTTTCAAGATACAATTGTATACTGTTTTGTATGCTGTGGTTAGGATAAGAGTATCACTTTGATTGCATCTACTGGGGAGATTGGTGGAGCACATTTCTGGGTTGTGTCTGGTTGGGTCATAGAGATGTGGCCTTGGGGGTCTGTGTCTGGTCCCTGGCCCCTTCCTCTCTGGCACTGTTCCCTTGATCTGTTAATCCAGCCACTGTGAAGGAAGCATCTTTGCTTCATCAATCCTTTCCACCCTGATGTCTCTCTCTGCCTTAGAGCCAGCCAACCATGGACTGAATCCTCTGAAACTATGAACCAAATTAAACATCTCTTTTAAGTGTGGGTGTCTGGTATTCTGGGAAAGCTAATACTTATATAAAACTTTATTTATTAATAGCACTGTATATTTTCTAGGATTTTTTTTCTTTCTGATTTTGGTGTTGGGGATAAAACCCAGGACCTCACACATGCTAGGCTATTACTCTTATATGGAGCTACCCTCCAGCCCCAGTAACCTTGAACTTTAGTCAGATTTTTTTTGGCTACACTACTTAGGGAGAATTCTTTTTTCCTTATGTTTGTTTTTGACAACTACAGGAAAAATGCCAAGTACAAATAAAAGTAAGGAAGAAAATTGTAATTGTTTGCAAGTGGGTTATTTTTAACAGCTAAATTTCATTTGTAATTTTATTGTCATAGATATAGGGTTTAATGTCATAGATACGGCTTAGTGATACAGTACTAGATGCAGTTTTTACTTCTGAAAAAATATTTAATTTATAGAATAATTTAAATTCCAGAACTTTTAGTGGAATCTATTATTAGTTACTATTATGTTGTTTCTAAAAAGGCCATAGTTTCTGGGTGTGGGAGCACACATCTAAAAGCTCAGCACTTGGGAGGCTAATACAGGAGGGCTATCATGAGTTTGAGGCCAGCCTAGGCTACATACTGAGTTTGAGGCCAACCTGAACTACATAGTAAGACTATCTCAAAAAACAACAGCAAAAAAAATTTATTTTTAAGTAAAAATGAAAAAGCCATTGTTAAATCTATCCCATCTCACCCATATGTCCTGTGGTTGTCCATATTCAGTCTGCATCTTCCTTTGTTGCCCACATTTCACTGAGACCAGATGAGAGGTGGAATTTTTTTTCAACTTTTAATTTTTATTAGTACATATTTGCGGTACATAATGCTTCTATCCAGTGGGAGAGTTTGATACACCTGTTTTATGGCTTGTGTTTAGATGTCTCTCTAAAGTCTTATGTAGTTATAGGTGGGACTTTTCAGAGGTGGCTGGATCTAGACTGTGTGAGTATGTGATTAAGTGTGTCACTACTAAAGTAGTCCACTGATTGTTGTGGCATGGTTCTGGGAGTGGATAATGGCAAGGCCCACTGAGTGTGAGTGCTACTCACCCTAAGGGCATGTCGCCTGGAAGGGACAGAAAGAGCAATTCTGTGGCTGCTTAACTGTTTGCTTCCTTGCTACTTTGTTGTTTTCCTGTCTTCTGCCCACCATAATCTGTTTTTCCTTTGCCATGGCACCCTACCTTGAAGCCAGCAAACTATGAATTGAAACCTCTACAAACTGTGAGCTAAATAAATCTTTCCTCCCTTAACTTGTGGGTTTTGGGTATTTTGTCTTTCTCAGCAATGAGAAAAAGTAACTAAGACAACATGTACAGTACACCTTAATTTTTTTTCTGTTCCCTTTTTCTCCCCCTTCCTCCCTCTGTCTATGGCTTGGTATCCTTCCCACTTGCAAAATGTCTCTCTTCCTGTTTCCTTTTGTTTATCTATCATTAGAGAGGTGGAATTTTAAAACAAGTCAAATCTAACAAGCAGTGATGCAGGGAAAAACGGGGAAGTTAAACCAAAATCAGATAGGGCAAGGGATTTAGCTCAGTGGTTCCTCTGCCTACCTCGTAAGCACAAGGTCCCGAGTTTGATCTCTGGTACCCACCCCCACCAAAAATTAGATGTTCACATAATTGCCAATAAATGAGGCCATGTAAAATAATTTTCAGAGAGGCTGGGGATATAGCTTAGTGGTGCCATATCTGTCCGGCAAGCGCAAGGTCCTGAGTTTGATCCTTGGTACCAAAAAAATTTTTAAAATGACCAAAGAGGTAGATGTAGTGATGCATGCCTGCAATTCCACTATTTGGGAGGCCAAGGCAGGAAGATGGATCACTTGTGTTTAAACAGGCTTGGACTACATAGTGAACCTCAAGGGCATCCTGAACTACATAGCAGCCTTGTCTCAAAAAAATAAATCTGTAGTGGAATGATGTTATTGTATTTAATTTTTGCAGAGGAATCGAGCATTTTAAGTAATTATTAAAAGTAATATAATACCATAGTTAAACTTGTAAAAGGAGGAAGAATTTGGATGTCAAAACCAATCAAGTTTACTATCCTACTCACCACATTCATATAATTGTTTAGACTATTTTTACATATATTTTATATGTTCCATTCATAACAGTATTCACTCATATATTCACTCAGTATTCATAACAGTTTTCACTTGATCCATTTTAAACATTTTCCTTTTTGACTTAATTTTTAAAGGCCTAAGGAAAAGATTTTTGTAAAGAATAGATTTCTAAAATAGAAATCAATTTTAGTTTTTTATTTATAAAATTTTAAAACACTGACCAATAAATAAGTTTAATATTTTTGTTGGTAGCCCCTTTATAGCGCATAAAGGTAATTAACAGGAAGGGCAAGAAATAGCTTTTTTTTTTGATACCAGGGATCGAACTCAGGACCTTGTACTTGCAAGGCAGGCATGGTGCCACTGTGCTAAGTCCCTGGCAAAAATAGCATTCTTTATCAGTTTCATTCTGCCTTAATTGGTTTACTGTTTGCTGTCATTCTAGAGATTTGGCCCAGATCTTGTTACAGCATGTGTTGAAGTGCCATAAGCAAATAAATCACATACTCAACATAGTCCTGTTTGGTCATTAAAAAGCACATTTATTTACATCTTAAGTACAAATTCTTTTTTATTTCCTCTTTTTCTTTTTTTGATACCAGGGATCGAACTTGGGACCTTGCATTTGTGAGGCAGGTGACAGATCTACTGAGCTAAATCCCTGGCCCCCACATTCTTACTTTTAAACACAATGGTATGGAATGAAATTATAAACTTGCCATTCTAATTATACCCTAGAATAGTAAAGTGCCTATCCTCCAAAAGGGAATCAATAAGTATTTTTGAATGAATTAAATATTGGAGTCTTTTGTGCATGGAGAGTAATGGAAACTACTGAAGTTGCTTAGTAGTTGAAAATAAGTCCAGATAGATTGCCTCTACTGCTAGCACTACTTGGTGAGGTGCTGAGTACCCCATGCTTGGAAGTATTGAATAAGGTGTTGTATGGCCATCTTTCAGTGATGTATGCACGGGGTGTGAGCACAGCCTTAGAGTAGACTAGTTACAAAATATTGACCAACCTAGTTGGTAAGCTAGTTGTCATTGTTCCCTGTACGCCTTATCATTAGAGAAAAATCATTGAACCAGGATATGTTTAAAGATCAAGATTTTTAAATGACTAAGTGTATCCACAGAATTCCACCCTATGAGAGATTTTGAGGAAGGGGTTTCTTGGTCTTATTTATTCTCAAGCATTTCCACAGTATTTCTCAGAAATAATACACATTAATATCAGAAGTACTGAGAAATCTTACTATAGAGAAAACTTAAACTGAACATTACAAATGTATTAGATGAGG